CTCGTGTCTGAGATGGCATTTCTCGAAGGAAACCGCAGCAGCCGCCGCTGGGGAAGGGCGGTGAGGGGGAAACGCCACTCACCAGTCCCGAAGCACCGGAAAAATTGGCTTCGGAGAAGAGCACGCCTTGTCCCTTGCAGCCCCGACGCTGGACGTAGGCAACTCGAACCAAACTGGTTTGGGGAAACGGCGTCAGGCTCTGGCTGCTGCGTTTTCTTGCTTCCAGCGGAGCCGACGGAGATGATCTTTAAGGTCCCTTCCGTGATGCTGTGAGACAGATGCAGCGCTCCCCGTGCCAGCTGCAGGATGTCTCGTTAGCAGCCCCGAGGAGCGCGTGGCCGGTTCCGCTGCTCCGGAGAAACAAGCTGCAAAGACGTGGGGATTTTTTTGATTTTTTTTTTTTTATTATTATTTTTAAAATCCCGACAGAGAGAGATGGTTCCTGCCCACATCTCGTGGGACCCCACGCGGCCTTCTCTCCCCCAGTCGGGGCAGCAGTTTTATCTCCTGTCATCCATCTCGGAATTTCTGAGCTTGTGCCATCGAAGCAGCCTGTAATTCCTTGCGCCATCGCTAGGAGTTGGCGTCTCTGTCGCCGAAGACTGTTTGTAGGGCGGTTTCAAGGTCAGGTCTTCGTCCCCGCTATACGCCTACGGGGCAGCAAACACGTAACCGTACATGGGTGATGCCCTCCAGGTACTAAAACGCAGGGAAGCCCGGGGAGGCAGGAGCCAGGGGGTGAGCAGGGAACGCCGGACAGACGAGCAGGAGCGACGCTGGGGGACTCCCCGGCTTTTCCAGCGGGAAAGCAGGAGCTCCCACGGCGTTGGGAGGACCTCCACACAGGCAGGTCAGCCCCACGCTCAGCAGGATTCTCCATTTCTCCCTGCAACTGGGAAGGAATCCCTCCGGTGTAGCCGCTCAGCGCTCTTCCCTCCACCTGCCCTGAGCCTTTTTTTTTTTTTTCTCCTCTCTTTTTTTTTTTAACTTGGCCTTAAACTGAGAAGTTACTTTCTCGGCAGCTTTTATTCTCCACTTGGCAATCAGTGGCCAGGTCTGGCACGTCTTTTATTCAGGCGAGTGACGCCACGTGCTCTTTGACGTCTGCTCAGCTGCGAGGTAACCTTCTCAGACCTGCCGGTTTCCCTTCTGTTGTCAAACTGGGCTAAATGCCCGCCAGCTCCTGTAGCCCCTGAAGAGGTACCGGGGCGGCGTTCCGAGGGCCAGAGCCGAGAGCGCTGCCCACCATCACCACCACCCATCCACCCCCTCGCTGGTGGACCTGGCCGAGGTCAGCCGAGACCCACAAAGTATATATCTCACCCCGCTGCCGGGAAAGCCGCTCCTGGAGGGGAGGAATCAATCAAATCACTAGAAAACGCGCCACCAGCGGTGGCCCAAGAGGAGATGGAGTCTCTCAGGTGTCCCCTGCGACGCTTTGCCACCGGTTTTACGAGGGCCGCTGGCAAACCAAGTGCCTACGGGCTACGGAAACATCTCCAGTGCCTTTTTCTGCTAACGGGACTGCACAAGGGAACAGCGGTTTCCCCACACGTGCGGAAAATGCTGCGTGCCTCAAAACCGGTGGCCGGTTTAGCTTAAGGAGTGAGGTGAGGTGAGGTGAGGCAAGACCCGAAGCGCGAAGGCCGACCCTACCCACGGGCGGCTGCGTCACAGCAGAGCAGCACCGGGCTGACAGCAATCCCTGGGAGCAAAAGAGAAGAAGGATTCCGAGTGCGGTTTTTTAGCATCTTATATCACAAATAGTATCTTCTGTCTTAAAGTCTATCACGAAGCGTACGCCGGTTCCGCCAGCCGCTGCGCAGCGAGGCAGAAACGAGCTCCGAAGGGGGTTGTAATTATTAAAGGGTCACAGGATTGTTTCTAAGCCCGCGGAAAGAGCTGTTTGCATAGACTTCCCTCCCCCCCCACCCCCCAAAAAAAGGTGTCTCTGCCCTAACTGAAGCCGTGTTCCCCATCCCCAATCAGTAACGAGAGTTAACAATCAGGCCTTGCCCTGCGTGAGACGGAGGGAGCTCTGAGCCCGTGTCTCCAGCCGGACAGCTTGGGGAAAACCCCTCTCTTCCCGCTGGAAAGGAGACGCGTCATCTCTCCAGACCTTCTCGGCAGGAAGGAAGACAAGTGCTGAAACGAGGCCGCTTGCCAAAGTTGGGCTGTTTCGGAGTTTGTTTCAAAAGCAAATTCGCAAACATTCTGTCCTGCTGTTAAGAGCTTAAAGCCTGTAAATAGAGACGATGCCACCACTGCAAGAATTAAGGAAAAAAAAAAGAAAAAGGAAAAAAAAAAAAAAAAAAGCAAAGCACTAACTTGTTTGGTTTAAATGTTGCTGTCACAGCTTTAATCACTGTATATTGCCAGCAAGTTTGTAGAGTTGCATTCTTAGCAGGTATTATTGATTATCAGTTTTTATTTGCGGGGAACAAGCGTGGTTTCCCTCCTTTCTTTCTGATTTATATTTATATTTTGCTGAATTTGAGTGCTGAGTCTCTGGATTCCCCACTTTTTTTTTTTGTTGTTTGTTTGTTTGTTTTGTTTGGCTTATTTAGACTTTGTTTTATGCTGGAGGCAAATATGCCCATATAAATAAATATATAAATACTGCTTTGTATCCAAGGACGGCTCCTGGCGCGTTCTTCCCTTGCTGTGAAATAACAGTCCTTCCGTTCGGCAGCTGTAAAACTGCTTCCCGCAAACCAGAGGAACCCCCGTGTCATTAATCAGCGGGAGTTTCCAAATGTGCCCACGCAGGGTCCGGTCAGGGTGAGAAGAGCCCCAGCCTGCGGCTGCTCTCGGCTACGCCGCGTCCTTTCTGACAGGTATTAAAAAAAAAAAAGAAGAAAAAACTCTTGGCCTCAGAGGTCAGGGCCAGATCCAGAGTCATCCGGGAGTACCCGCAGAAGGGAAAGCTTCCTTCCCAAATGGGAAATCAGGGCTTTAAATCTTGAAGCCACCTGTTGAATTTCTCATTTGGAAATCTAACTGCTTTGAAAGCTGGGCTACAAATTCAAAGCCACCCATAAAAATACAGTTATGTTATAAATAAACTCCTCTTTTATAGGCAAAGCGCTTAATTCTCTACTGAACTGAAGGGCACATCCAGCTACGAGATTATTCCGTCCTGTACTTCTCAAACATTCCTCCCAAAACCTCGTTTCCCACAAACACAGCCTGCGTCGCCCACTGCGGTGCCACCAGACAGGCGTTGGTCCTGCTTTGCGTGCGAGAAGCCGCACCAACGCCTCACCCGGGAACCCCGGCCAGAAGCTGTTCTGCAGGCGCTGTTTCGCCCAGGCCAAACGGCACATCCATCCATCCACCCATCCATCCACCCAGCCGCGGACCTCAGGAGCACAGAGCCTGGCCGAAGAACGGGGCCGGGCAGTCCCATCAGCTCCATTTCTAGTGCAGGAGGTCCCCAAGGCGCCGCCAACGGTAAGCGAACCACCTCGGAGCGGTCCCTGCCTGTCACAGAACCTCACAAACCAAGCCAGACCAACTACCAAGCTGAAAACAGGATTGATCTTTACACGTTGGTGACAAAAATCAAACTAAAGTTTTACTCTAAACAAAACCGCTTTGAGACTCGTGACAAACATTAACAATCCGCAGGTTGAGGCTGTCGCTCGGGAGTTAATACTACACTGCCGGCTTAAGAATTCTTAAGGGTTATGGTCGATGACCCAAAATGCACATAATCACTCAACTAAACAAGATGAAGTCCCTCGATCTATACAGAAGATGAACCACGGGAGGCATCCCAACCCACAGGGAGCGCCCCCCAGCCGCAGACCCGCTGCTCTGAGGGAGCCCAACTCCAAATTTGACTCTCACGGGGCCCCGTTTACACCCAATTCGAATCCGACCTGTGGTGACAGATGCTCATGTAGCCCCCCCACTAGCCAAAGACCCAAACTGCTGCACCTTTCAACCAAAATGTCCACCACCGTGTGGGCGTAATGAGCAAAGTGGCGAGAAAATTTTGTCCGGTCTTCCTTAGGTTTTTGCAGGGTTTTGTCAGGCCTTACCTCATCCTCATCAGGGCTTTGAATGCCACACTTTTGGGCACACACAGCTGTGGAAATCTATGACAAACACAGGGCCCATTCATGGCACATAGATCTCTTGCCACTATCAAAGTGGTTTGGAAAAGCCGGGGTGGGAAGAAGAGCATCTAAAAGACAAACCATGAGTCAGATGCATCACAGAGGCAGTTTTATTCAGGTTGGCTTTGTTGGACGGGTGAAAGTCACTCAACAGGAGCACAGTCCATGTCTGACACGGGCTTTGTTGTCGAAGTATAAAAGAAATACAAAAAAGAGCTTCTACAGGGCTTCCCACCTAGAACCAAAGGAGAGATGAAGGAGGTTGGTGAGACAGCGTTCTGCAGGGCAGCACCGGGGCCGGACTCCCCTGCTACTAAAGCCACAGAGCAAGGGAAAATCCCCAGCACACATAATTCCCAACTGCCTCACACAGGGGACGAACCCCAGTTCTGCCAGATGTGCACAGGCAGGGAGCTGCTTTGCAGCTCAGAGTAGCTGCGATGCTTAAGCCCAAAGGCTGCTGCGGGGATGCCAGCACAGCCTTTTGCATATCCTAACTTTATCCCCGAAAACAAAGGTGGCTTTTGGCAAGAACAGCTGTCACAGGGCTACATTTCCACCCCAGCCCCCCGACGCGCACAGAGCGTCAGGCCCTCAGGGCACTTACAGCCGCAGGGATTCCCCGGGCGGTACCGGTGCTCCTCCGCCCCCACCTCAGACGTAGATACCGACCCACAGCAGCAGGAAGAGGACCCCGAAGCCCATGAAGAGCGAGGCCACCAGCGAGATCAACAGCTCCTTGTAGATGTCCCGCGTGTACTTGGTAGAAGTCACCTCGTAGCTGCAGCCCGGGGGGTTAAGGTGCTAACGGCGGCAGAGGAAGGTGAGGGAACACCCCCCACCCCCCAC